GCACCCTTGAGTGGGTTCGTTTATATTCTCTCCTGGCGGATTCTTTGTCGAAATTCTAATATGTGCATTAAGGGACGAAATCCGAGATTTCCCAGAGATCGTAAGAGAGTCCACGGTATTCCAGGAAGCACTGATCGACCTCTCCTTACCGGAAAATGTCATTGTGGTCATAGATCCATGGATGTATGGTGGTTGTAACTCACCTGAGTCGGAACCACGTTATATGCAAGGCTTGGTATACACCAGAGACCCAGCAACGAATGACCTAGATTCGAATCACTACGCTTTCCCACTTCCTGTCATCCCTGTGGTTAACATGGCGACCAGAGAAGTAGTTAGGATTGATAAGCTCTGTACAGGAGGCATCAATGATGGATTCCAGACCGACACACATCCGCAAGAAGCCATTGGACATTGTGAGCCTGCAGAGTACATACCTGAATTGGTCACAGGTGGGTTGAGGCAGGATCTAAAACCACTCAATGTACACCAACCGGAAGGGGCTTCCTTCCACGTGACTGGAAATCTTGTCCAATGGCAAAAGTGGAGATTTCGAGTGGGTTTTAATTACCGTGAAGGTGCTACTCTTCACGACATCTCGTATGAGGACAGAAGCATATTTTATCGAATCAGCTACAGTGAAATGTCAGTGCCATACGGCGACCCACGGCCTCCTTACCACCGCAAACAAGCATTTGACTTTGGGGATGGGGGTGCCGGGCGGGCTACCAACAGCCTTCAGCTGGGATGCGATTGTCTGGGAGTCATTAAGGTTGTTCCACCACCGCTTTGAAGACAGTATGCTAACTTATCAGTACTTTGACGCTGTTATGTCAGATGGGCAAGGCAAGGGTATGGTCGTTCCAAATGTGATATGCATGCATGAACAAGACAGTGGAATTGGGTGGAAGCATAGGTATGGCTTGAACCAATATATTTATGAAATCTTCTAATCGTTTCTCGGATCAGTAACTATCGAACTGGTCGTGCTGTCGTCACTCGGAACCGCCTCCTCATAGTCCAATTTGTTATCACTCTGGCTAATTATGAATATGTCTTTGCTTATAACTTTGACCTGGCTGGGGGATTGGCTATCGAGACCCGAGCAACCGGGGTAGTTAGCACTGTGCCAATCGACCCTGGTAAAACCTCCTTGTGGGGCAATGTGGTGCACCCTGGCGTATTGGCTCAGAATCACCAACATATCTTTTGTGTCCGAATAGACCCTTGCATTGAGGGTCCGCAGAATACTGTATTGTATGAGGAATCACATGTATTACCATGGGATAAGGAAACAAATCCCTATGGAAACGGATACGAGGTTCGACAAACCGTTTTTAAGAAATCCGGTTGGGCGGATGTAGCCCCTCATCACAATCGGGTATTCAAGATCATCAATCCAAATCATCTGAATCCTATCAGTGGCAGGCCCGTGGGATACAAATTCGCGCCTCCTCCAACCCAGCTGATGTTGGCCCACCCAGAGAGTTTAATGGGGAGGAGGGCTGCGTACGCTATGCACCATGTAGGTTCACCCATGCCCATTTTATTTCTGCCTTAGGAAAACTGATCTGATATCTTGATAGATCTGGGTTACCAAATACCGTGATCATGAATATTGGGCTGCAGGGAGGTGGACCAATCAGGGTAATGTCGAAAGAGGAGGTGTCAGGGATATGGTCGACAGGGGCGAGGACACGGAAAACGAGGATATTGTGCTCTGGCACTCATTTGGGCTGACACATAATCCCCGAGTGGAAGATTTCCCAGTAATGTGAGTGATAGGTAGTATATGATCCAAGCAACACGATCTAACACTCACTGTAGGCCTGTCGAAATTCACACAATTCAACTGAAACCTGCGGATTTTTTCACCCGGAATCCCGCAATTGACGTTCCGTCAACGAAAAATGTAACTTCTCAGTATTATGAACAAGTTGCTGGTATAGTCAGGGTCAATAGACATGCAAAGAGTAATGAGCAACAACAGAGTAATAGTATCAAAGAGTGTTGTGAAGTTATTAATGGTGTTTGATTTGTTTTCATTTATGATTTGGGATTATGTTCATGCTTGAGGTAAGTGGATTCTACGATAGAATTTTGGATTCTCCTGCAGGCTTCGAAAGAGCACAAGGATTTGCGTCGCCTGCTCTTCACTTTAATTCTTTTCGTTTTAACGGAGGGACGTTTGTGTGAAATTTTGATATTCGATCTTTCTTCAAGGAGGCTTTCTGTCTGTGTTTCGCTTGCATCACTTGCACTCTCACCTGTTACCTTTCCAAAGATTATATTTTGAATTGCACGGGTGCTGTGTTCAATATTGGATACAAATAACTAGAGAAGAGCAGATTCTGTCAATTATTTGACATCTCATTTATTCATTAAACTTCGTTAACTTACGAAATACTCCACCAATACTACCCATACATACCCATATACAACTTTAATCCAACTGAGCAAATTCCACCAAGCAACCTTGAAATATTTTATGTTACCCCTTCAAAATCGCATTAAGGCCGAAGACAAGAGGAATGGAGAGTTCTTTTTAGACCTCAAGCTTAGCCACCTCAGCAGTGACCTTTGGCACAGCATCCTCTGCGCTAGAATTCGATGTTCCGTTTACCACACCCAACTTCTCAAAGGCCTGCATGAAGTCCTCGACGATATCGTCAATGTGTTCGATACCAACAGACACACGGATCAAGTCTCGGGTGACACCGGCGGCGAGTTGTTCTTCAGCGGTGAGCTGCTCGTGGGTGGTTGAGGCGGGATGGATGGCCAAAGTCCTAAGTGGTGCATGTTAGAAAGCTCACGTGATTATTTTTTTGAGGGGGGGAATCCCTACTTTGCATCACCAACATTGGCAAGGTTAGACACAAGCTTGAGGTTATCAACAACCGTAACACCAGCCTCCTCACCACCCTCGACACCAAAAGACAATACACCACCGAACCCGCGGCGGAGATACTTTTTCGCCAAAGCATGGCTCGGATGGTTCTCCAACCCGGGATAACTCACCCAGCTAACCTGCGGGTGCGCCTCTAACCATCTCGCCAACGCAAGTGCATTTGATGCATGTCTCTCCACACGCAAACTGAGTGTCTCCAGGCCCTGGAGTAACTGGAACGCACCAAAAGGATTTAAGGTTGACCCTAGATCCCGGAGAATCTCAACTCTAACTCGGATGGCGAATGTGATTGGGCCGAAGGTCTCCCAGAAATTGAGCCCGTGGTAGCCCTCGCTTAGTTCTGTAAATTGAGGGAAGCGCTTGGAATGTTTACCCCAGTCGAATTTGCCTGAGTCTACGACGACGCCGGCGATGGTAGTGCCGTGGCCACCGATCCATTTCGTTGCGGAGTGGGTGACGATATCCGCGCCGTACTCGATGGGGCGGACAAAGAAACCCCCAGCACCGAAGGTGTTATCGACGATAACCGGGACTCCGGCATCGTGTGCTACCTTCACAATGGCCTCAAAGTCCGGGATATTGTATTTCGGATTTCCGATAGACTCGATATAGACCGCCTTCGTCTTGTCATCGATAGCAGCAGCAAGGTCCTCTGGCTTATCGCCGCTGACGAATCTCGTGTGTATCCCAAGACGGGGAAGGAAGACTTTGAATTGGTTGTATGTGCCGCCGTAGAGGTAGCTAGTGGAGACGATGTTATCCCCTGCGTGGGCGAGAGCTGCAATCGCCATGAATTGCGCGGCTTGGCCGGAAGAGGCAGCAACGGCGGCGACACCACCTTCGAGGGCGGCAATCCGCTTCTCGAAGACGTCCACCGTAGGGTTCATTATCCGGGAGTAGATATTGCCGAATTCTTTGAGCCCGAAGAGGCGTGCGCCGTGGGCGCAGTTATTGAAGACGTAGGACTGGGAGGTAGAGGGTTAGCCATTGGTGTAGAGAGGGGAGTTGGGGAGGGGCGGAGCCTACGGTGGAGGCATAGATGGGGACTGCTCGGGCGTTGGTGGTGGGGTCTGGTTCCTGGCTAGGAGGATGTTAGATGCCAATTCGTCGTCGACGTAGAATGAGGTGGGGATGGAAGTAAGGCCGGACGGTAGAGCTCACCCAGCGTGAAGGCAGAGGGTCTCGAATCTGCTCATTGTGAAAGATCTATGGATTGAGACTGGTTATTACGAATTGGGTATGTATGAAAAGGAAGCCGTGTGCTGCTGTATCGTGAGAGAACAAGAACCGCCCCGCAAGCTATAAAACAATCTGAGATACAAACTACAGATGCAAGAAGGTCCTGTAGAGGGTCTAAGCAGATCCTGAGGGCCCAGTGACAGTACTAGGTTGAAAATATGAGCGGGGAGGTAGTATGGCTGGCCAACTTATAGCCCGACTCTCCACAGCAGAAAAGCTCTAGGCTGGCTCTAGGGCCACTCCTCCAATCTTTTCAAAGTTCTTCGCCCTGCAGCCCGAGCACGCCATCTCGTATTTTCCTCAGGCCCTGTGCCATGCCACGCCCTTGATTGTCCATCACCATCATCGAAACCGCCCCCATTACAGGTGCTATGTGAGGGTGCTGGCACGCTCGTGCAGCCAGTCTGTATGCTTATCTCGACCGCACGGCTGCCCATACTTATGCAGCTGAGAGCCCGCTTACACTATGTTTTTTCGCATCAACACCCATGGTTTTCTTGATCCAAGTTCGAGATGCTAATGGGTCAAGTAAGTTTAGTTGTGCATGTGCAAAAGTAGCTCGTCTGGACAGCCAATCAGCGCTCGCCTGTCCGCCTCAGTGAGACTCCCCAGATGTGCAGATGGTGCCATCGAAAGCTTGTATTTGTATGGTTGATGGTTTCGGCAGACGCCATCTCCTTCGCTTTGGGATAGCGAGATAGCGAGCGTATATCTCAAGTAACTTTTTTCTTAGAGGGATGTTGCAGTTGAGCATTAGAGGTAAAACAATTTCTCACATAAGAAGGGTGATCTCTAGATGGGGGTTTGTACAGTATATAGAATTAAGCGTAGCTTAATAGTGATAACAATAAGTGACGTTGTGCCCGAGTGGTTAAGGGGTTTGACTCGAATCTTTTCAAAGATGGGTATCAAATACGTTCTGCGTGCGCAAGTTCGAATCTTGTCAACGTCGATATCTTTTTGCGTTTTTGCTTCTCTCCGCTGTGGAGTCTGGGATCGAACTACCCATGTGGCTAATAACCCTCCTCGAGCCTACCTTCAAGTTCTGCTTCCCGCACCAACTCGGCACCCTCCCCAAACCCCATGACCTCTCCTCCCTCACGCTCCTCCTAATGCAATCAAACCTGCTCGACCCCAATACTTCCCCGGACAGAATTGAATTCCTGGATGAGGATATGAGGATTATACCTAAAGGTACACTGATAAAGAAAGTTATGAAGTGGGTGGGCAATGAAAACCCGCTTATTGTTCGAGTGCAGCCAGAGGAGGAGAAGGTGATTGAGGTGAAGAGGGCGTGAGTGGGGTATAATGGATGGGTATTTGGGTACTTTAGCAGGCACGTATTGTGGAGATAAGACTTTGAATTTGGGGCCTGGGGGCTGGGCGCTGAAGGAATGGGATTGACTCTACGATCGAAATTGGTATGAGGGTACTACGGTGGGAAAAATTTATAATTGCTTGGATATAGAGCTTCTCGGCTATGGTGTTTCTTTCCATCGTTAAAATTGCTCCTCCGTGGTGAATGAAGCGAGAGTTGATACATCGGGCAGTTAATTTTCGAGCAAGTGTGGATGGAAGGCCAGCCCCGTCATGATGGTATTAGTACATCGAGAAGCTACATACTTGTATGTAGTACTCCGTAGGGTACAGGCGGAATCGTTCGCAGTTACCCTGAACTCTCTTAAATCAGGAAAAAATTAGCCACTCATTTGCAAATACCTGGTTAACACTGTTGGATAGAATCTAGGACAAAGGTCATCTGGTATATAATATGAACTACTTAAGTAATATGTCGGCTGCCGTATATCAGATTTGCACAACCAGAAGGGCGTACTAGCTTAGAATATTGGATCTAGCAGTTACCCTGAAGGAGGTAGGGGTGTTCGTCCCGCTGGAGGCTTGGCACCAACAATTGTAACGCTGCGGGTGTCAGCCGTTAACAGTTTTTACTGGTCAGACATCCTAGTTCGAGTGCACGTCATGCTCCACGTAATGTTGCGATGATTAAACCCCCCTCCCTCAAAGAAGCCAGAAGAACGGTAAGTAATCTTGGGCGTTTTGGCTCAGGGGGTTGGATTAAAATAGGTCGCCTCGCGCGGCGCCGAAAAATACCTCGCTGGCTGTAGTCTGGTTATGCTGTGCGGGGATGCTTGTGGTATTGTACGACTTCCGGATCGGATCTGGATCCATTTCTTGATTTGATTGGAACTTGGGCCACCGCCTCTCGTAGAGAGGAACTTGTCATACAGTGTCGTTCCATATAATCGGAAGCCCCACAGACAGAAGTTTGTTCGTAAGCTTTCCTCTCCTTCGGTCTACTAGGACTACCTCAACTGTGGGTATCGCCATCCTCTTGATTATATCCGCTTAGTGTTTATACGTTATAATTCGAAGAAGAACCTCTGACGTTGCGGCTCTGCATCTGTCTCGTGTCTGTCCAGTTACATTACAAAATAAAGTCAACCGCCAGCTTTAAGTTTATCTGCCAACGAAGCGGGGTCTCTGTTGTTCGAGAGAGTTGAGTCTACTCGAACATCCACTTGCAGCAAAATACATCCCAAATCAACCAGCTCCATTTCCTCATAGCAACCAAAGACATACATCCCATCCCAGTTCACTATCCCTGCCGTTGTTGTGAGCAAGAAAAGGTGTGTAATTTACTCGATGGTGATCATCTACTGCCACCCTGACATGCTAACAAACTGATAACGAACAGTCAACAGCAAAGCCTGATTATATACCGTCTGGAATTGTGGGTTGCAGTACAGCTCTTCTAGCCATCGTCTCTTCATATTGAGTGCATCACGTTTTGAATTCTCAAGCGAGCTTGGAACCAAACCACGCTAAAGCGACGAGATGGCATTGAATCCAATTCCAATTCTGAGGATAGTGCAGGGTGTGTTGGCTTTGATTGTAGTAGGGACGGCGGGGTATGTTGTGGTATGTTTGGCTCCTGGAATGCGTTTGGTGAGTTGGCGGCCCGAGTCACTGACGACCTTCTCTGGCTTTAGAACTACTACAGACAGGCACCAGCACCGAGGAAGGCGCCTAGTGAAGTAAATTTCTTGATTTGGAATGTATGTAGGCCCCCCACCCACTCACAGATGATGATGTTTGGAGCTTAACGCTGCGCATAGTTCGTTTGGACCGTCCTCGCACTTCTCTACCTCGGTCTTGCGCCAACATATATTCCAAATCTCTACCACAAATGGGCAGTTGTGGGAGTGGAAGGATTGTCGGTCCTTTTTTGGTATGATATTTTGGTCGTCGATTTCTACATGTACAAGAGGCTGATTAGTTCTATGAAGGTTCTGTGGGTGGATTGCTATGGCCGCTTGGCTCGGTAATGCTACCGTTTGCTTTGGAACCGTTTGTGGGTGCGCCCGTGCGGCTGTTGTCTTTTCGGTGTTTGAATGGTATGCCCAAATCCCCTCCCGCAGGGTAGAGTAGAAACTAATTGTTTTGTTACTCCAAGGATCGCCTGGTGTCTGTCACTCGGAATTGTAGTCAAGGCAATCATGGCTTGGAATGCCCGACAGAACGGCGATGCCGAAGCTGGGCATGTCCCACCTCAATATGGTGAGAATAACGGGAATTCATACGCACTCTAATGGACTGGATATTGACGGATTTCCGTGATTTAGAAGAAAAGCGCCATGGCGCGTCCTACCCACCCCCATCTACCAGAGCAAACATCTACGAGGCGAACCCGAGTGGCTCGGATATTTATCACGTGCAACCAGACTCCCCAGAGCCAGCGCATGGTATGAGGATGCCTTCAGCGGGGAACTATGGCGGAAGGTAAACTCTGTCAGTGAGTTCAGGCACGGGTTTGTGAAGTGATGATATCAGGACGCGTGCGGCGGTTTGGGCGAATAATGAGGGGTTCACGGCTTTATGAAGTTTTTTCCCCTGGTGTCTGTTTTTATGAGCTTTACGGGATATTTCGTGCTTCCTTTTGTGGTTCTTGTCGCATCCAATACATTACTAGAGCATGTGCAGTTTTCCGTGGATTGCTGTGGTGTTACTGCTGGATTTTTACTTTTTGTGAGGTTGATTTCGTCAAGAAGATGGATTGTGGATAAAATTTGTCCCGGGGCCTGCTCAATATGGATGGATAAGTTGTTTGTTACTGTATTAAGCAGATGGTGAATGGCAAAATGAAATAAAATTGGGTGTATGCTAAATAGGCGTGGGTTTGCTGTGAGGGTGAGATGTCTATTGCGTGGACTGGTCTGCAGATGGGTTTTCGGGGGGGAGGTGAGGGTAATATATACCTAGATAGGGTAGTGGAACTTCATGTGATTGCCTTTTGTATTTCTCTGGATGGCCAATATTGTTAGTCTTAATGCAGTTAAATTTGTTGCAGAAGTAGAAGACCAAACCCTGAGGATGAGATGAAATGCAAGCCCAGGCACTCTGTTTGGCGTTCGTATGTAGGGGAGAGGTGTAGATTCGCAATCTGACGATAGATTATTCTTGTTCTCTTCCATCTACAATATGCCATTACCATAATCTCTCAGATTTCTGGTCGCCTGTGGTCAACTATCAAAGTTCCCCAGGCTGAGCTGCAAGTGAGGGAGTATTGAAGAACGCTACTAGGTTTGGCAGGCCTAAGAAACTGAGCAAGCAAGATCTGGATTGCAATAGGAGGGCTGTATTTTGATGTATGAAGAATCAGAGTGTGACATGGATAAGGGAACCAAATTTGGATGGTAATTCTACTATTTTCCTTGGGGCAATCCGAGTTGTATTTAGAGTCCGGTGAGTCCAGTCCATTTGATACTCCCTCAAGAGGGCTTTGCATGGGGGTTTCGTAAATACAAATGTATGATAGATCTGGTCTGTGTGGGCCTCATATCAAGGAGAAGGAACCTCCCTGCCTTCCATCATCCTGAGCCCTTCCTAGGTAGTTGAAGGGGACCAGAGGGCATTTCTTGTGAGTTTTTAAACTAGTCAAAAGTTGGAATCACGAAAATCTGGCGGTCATAACATGTGTTACCCTCATGTGGTCGTTAGTGTCGATAGTTACTCAAGACTACGCTATCTCCGAGAAAACTGTCTACACAAAGTGGCTAGCAAAAGAAAAAAGACTTGCTTGGGGTATCGGAAGATTCCGAAAGTAAACGATTTTAGAGTGAGTGGCTCATGGAAAAGCAAAGTGGGATAAGGGCTATACTGAAGGGAAAAGATATAAACAGCATACACATTTGTTTCTTTTTTATTTTTTTTTAAAGCCAGTGCTTGCAGATAACTTACTTAAGGCTATGGATATAGCAAGGCTTCCATCTTAAGATCCCATTGACGAGGTACCTTCATCAGCTGTCTGAAGGATGAATATCAGAAGCACCACGCAAGCACTACGTAAGTTTTCGATTTACTCATACTTACCCTGAAGCCAACTTTTGCTGTCATGTCCCATGCGACTTAGTCAGAGGTCGTTGTGCCAACCAGACTACGTGCGACTCAGAACATCCATCGCGATGCTGCTAATGTGAGCGACCAGTACTGGAGCCTGAGGCATATCCTCGTCAGATACCTCAGCATGCCCTGATCTCAACTGCAAAAGAACGTGTTATAAGGGGGATTTGCTCCTCTACCGAGGGAGACAAGCATTGCTTTGCATTGCTAATAAATTCGAGTTCCACTGCACTTGTGTAAATTCCATTAATCCTGAGCCACTGGTGCAGACTTTCATCGATGCCATGGCATTGTGGATGTGAATGTCACGGGCAAATCTGGTACCTGTCAAAAGACGGCCACCCCAGGACTCTCATTTGACCACGTGGTATGTAGTACTTTCACAAAGCCCCGTTTAAGATAGGGTTGTGCTGACAAAGGGGGTTTGAAGCAGATGGCACATGCATGTTAGACGGGGGACGGAAGCGTTGTGTCGGGTCCAATTAACCTTTTACCATCTTGCACATGGGCACGGACAACTAGCCTCGTACC